AATACAGGTTTGGGACAAAATGTGAGTGAGTAAATAATGACAGAAATTACATTTTTTTGGGTGAACTATCCCTTTAATGACAGGTGGCAGCATATTTAGTAGCTACTGCCCCTTTAAGAGCTTCACGCGTTTCTCTCTCAACTGTTTACTTTCATTTTAGACATAACCAACTGTGTTTATATGTAAACCTTGTGTGTTTTTGACAGTATTAGACGCTAAATCAATCAGACGCGAAAGACAACTTAGACCAATAATCAGGTGCTTTTTGACAGGCTCTCAGTGTGAGCGCGCTTCTCGAGTATGCGGTCAGAAAAAGCGCATGCAGAACAGCACGTGAATTAAATGTTTAACCGGTATTGCTTTAAAGCTGATGAAATAATGTAGTTTTGTGATTGCGCATAAGTGCAGTGTCCCGTGAGAGTAACTCTACCGCTGAGCTAATACTGATGTGAACATTATATTGAGACGGAGGGAGGCGCCAGAACTGCAGCTGATAGAATGTGCGCTGTAGCACGATACGACGATATTTCTTCAAAAGCAGATCATGGAGACATTCAAAAATTGTCATATCGCACACCCCTAACTACCAAGTATAATCAATCTCACACACACAAACAAGCACAACGAAATCACTTCACACTATTAAGCGGCTGTGTTATGAACATGCAAAATTGTATCGCACCCGTGCTACAGTGGTAAATTTATTCATCGCACAGACCAGTTTTTTTGTAGCACGTGCGACATATATGTCGCACTGTACAGCCCTGTTTTTTATCATATAAATATCAGCAATGCACCAAATTACATATTTTTGCTGTTTGAATCTCTAAAAAAAAAAAGCTGTTTTCCCTCCATATTCTCACTGTATCAGACTATATGAGCCATAACAACCTGATGGATCAAATATGATACTCAACAAAAACACAAGTAAAAATAAATTTTCTTAATATTTTGTCTAAAGGTTCAATAAGCTTATTCCATTAAAAAAAAAAAGATTTTTCTGTCTTAATTTCCATAACCCAAAATTCATAGTGTATCATGTATTTAATCTCATAGAAATGTCCATTTGGTGCTATTTCAATCGTGAACCTGCCAAGCAACCTGGAGAAGGAAACCACACACAGATACTGTGCCAATTCCTTCAAGCTCCACAGGTACAAACTGAGTCATCAGTACATTAGTCATGCTTCAGTATTTTGTGCATTTAATCTGAGTGTTCATGTTCGTCAGGTTGCCCATCCCTCGTCCGGGTGAGGTGCTGGGACTCGTGGGTACTAACGGTATCGGAAAATCCACTGCTCTGAAAATCCTGGCGGGAAAACAGAAACCAAACCTGGGGAGATTCGATGTGAGTTTCTCTTATCCGCACAAACACCCACTCCACATCTGATCCGAGTTTGCATGTCTAACTTAATTCATGCATGTTTTTCCAGGCTCCTCCTGACTGGCAGGAGATCCTGGCGTATTTCCGTGGCTCCGAGCTGCAGAACTACTTCACCAAGATCCTGGAAGACGATCTGAAGGCCATCGTGAAGCCGCAGTATGTCGATCAGATCCCCAAAACCGTTAAGGTTGGTATGAACTGCAGCTAAGGGAAATCTGAAGTCAAATCTGCTGTGCTTGATTGTGTTGTAATTCTCCCTTTATCCTGCAGGGGTCAGTAGGCTCCATCCTCAGCAGGAAGGACGACACCAAGTCAGAAGAGGTGGTGTGTGAACAGCTGGGTACGAACACATGCTTTTATTTTTATGCAGGATCATGTAAATATTTAGAAATGTGATCGAATAATGTAGGTGGTTTTGATGGTTCTCTGCTCTGATTGGTCAGATTTGTTGCACTTGCGTGATCGTAATGTTGAGGATCTGTCAGGAGGAGAGCTGCAGAGATTCGCCTGCGCGGTTGTCTGCATTCAGAGAGCTGATATGTGAGTCCCTGCCCTTATGAAGAAGTCCTGTAGCATTCAGTGTTATTTTAGTTTTATTTATATATTATTATTTACTAATATATTGAATCAGCTCTCTCAATTTTAAATTGTAATTTTAGTTTATTTTATGTGATTTGTCACTTGTATTAGTTTTTTGTTGTTGTTTCTATTTAGCTTTAATTTTGTCATTTCGATTTTAGTACTTCAGCTAAAACTTATTTTATTTAATTAGTGTTATTGTAGTATTATTTATTTCATGTTAATATGTTGAGCTTGTATTTTTATTTTTTCAATTATCAGTTTAGTTTTAGTAATTTTGTTTGCATGCTTTTGTCATTTGATTTTTTTTTTTAGCTTTCATTTTTATTTCAGTTTTAGTCATTTTAGTATTTAAACTTGTTTTATTTCATTGTAATGATGAAGTGTTGTAGCATTAATTATTTTAATATTATTTACATACTATTACAATAGTAATATTTTTAGGTTCTATTTTCAGCTTTAATTTTAGTTTTAGTAATTTTGTCTTTGTCATTTTTAGTTTATATATATATATATATATATATATATAGCTTTTTCAGCTTTTTAAATTGTAGTAATTTTTGTATTGAGGCTTAAACTTAATTTATTTCAGTGGTTTTAGTACTTCAGCTAAAACTTATTTTATTTAATTAGTGTTATTGTAGTATTATTTATTTAATGTTAATATGTTGAGCTTGTATTTTTATTTTTTCCAATTATCAGTTTAGTTTTAGTAATTTTGTTTGCATGTTTTTGTCATTTGATTTTTTTTTTTTAGCTTTCATTTTTATTTCAGTTTTAGTCATTTTAGTATTTAAACTTGTTTTATTTCATTGTAATGATGAAGTGTTGTAGCATTAATTATTTTAATATTATTTACATACTATTACAATAGTAATATTTTTAGGTTCTATTTTCAGCTTTAATTTTAGTTTTAGTAATTTTGTCTTTGTCATTTTTAGTTTATATATATATATATATATATATATATAGCTTTTTCAGCTTTTTAAATTGTAGTAATTTTTGTATTGAGGCTTAAACTTAATTTATTTCAGTGCAAGGATCTAAAGTCCTGCTATGTTATTTTAGTATTGTTTGTATGCTATTGTAATATTTTGAGCTTTTAAAATATATTTTCCATTTTAATTTTACTTTAAATTAATAATTTTATGTGCTTTTGTCATTTTTGTTAGTTTGTTTGTAATATTTATTTAGCTTTTTTTATTTGAGTTTGCTGTAGTATTCAGTATTATTTATGTACTATTATAATATTTTGATCTTTTATTTTTTTATATTTTCCATTTTAATTTAAGTAATTATATGTGCTTTTGTCATTTTTGTTAGGTTTTAAAAAATATATTTATTTAGCCTTATTTTTAAACTTATCAAGTCAGTTGTGTGCAAAGGCTGCATTTCTAATTTTCATAGTAAGTTTTTCATCAGATATTTATGTGCTTATTTCAGCTTTAATTCAATTAATGAAAACTGTTTAATAGTATATTACCAGCAGCACTAATAGCAATGCCGTTTCTCTTTCCCTAGTTTCATGTTCGACGAGCCGTCCAGTTATCTCGATGTGAAACAGAGGCTGAGAGCTGCCATCACCATCCGCTCCCTCATCTCTCCAGACAGGTCTGAAGCTCTCGTAGTGTCGCTAGTTACTCCTCATTACTAGTCCTTACAGCTCATATTCCTCTGTGTAGGTACATCATTGTGGTGGAGCACGACTTGAGTGTACTGGATTACCTGTCAGACTTCATCTGCTGTCTGTATGGCGTTCCCAGCGTTTACGGTGTGGTGACCATGCCCTTCAGCGTCCGGGAAGGTACGGCCCTCTCCAAAACCTGCATGTGATGCTTAAAAATGTTACGTTTTGACTATAACTTGTTCATTTTTTTTTCTCCAGGGATCAATATTTTCTTGGATGGCTTCGTGCCGACAGAGAACCTGCGCTTTAGGGAGACGTCTCTGGTGTTTAAAGTGGCTGAGACGGCCACTGAGGAGGAAGTGAAGAAAATGTGCCGCTATCAGTACCCCAACATGAAGAAGTGCATGGGCGAGTTCTCGCTCACCATCACGGAAGGAGAGTTCACCGACTCCGAGATCATGGTCATGCTGGGAGAGAACGGTGAGACGAGGGAGACGGTGGTCCATGGTAAAGGAAGCGGTGATTGTGGTTTGCTTTATTGTCCAATAAACGGGTTTTCCTCTTTCAGGAACTGGGAAAACCACGTTCATCAGAATGCTTGCAGGAGGCCTCAAACCAGACGCAGGAGGTGAAAATCAGCACACACCAGTCCAGTATTTAACATAATTCAGGAAATTGCAAATTATTCATCTAAATCTAATCCCATTTTATTGGATTGTAATATTCTATTCTAAGAAAGAACTGTTTTCTTTTCATTTATTATACAATTAACAAAAGCAAAATAAGACCTCTAACGCTAGCTTGCTCTATTTTTCTATTCTATCTGTTTTATTTTTATTTTTTTATTATATTATTTAAAAAACCCTTGCTACGTGTACTGCGTTAAGCTAACTGAGACTTGTTATAGCACTTGC